TGGTGCACGACCCCATTCGAGCCGCGACCGAGCTCCCGTCCCGTGAGCACGTAGGGCCCCAGCCGCCGCAGGTTGGGATGCTTGAAGTGAGGGACGTTGCCGGCCCGCGACGAGCGGTCGCTGCCCCGCGAACTTCGCGCTCCCTCTCCTTGGGAGCCCACGTGCGGCGTAGCAGCTCCTGAGGACTTCTGATTCGGCTCGGCTGTCGCCGCGCTCGCACGCGGCGTTGAAGGCGTGGAGGCGGCGCCTTTGCCGGTCGAGCCGGCCGAGGACGCCTTGTTGGGGGTCCTTTTCCAGGGCCACATCCTCAGCAGGTTAGCCCTGGTGACGACGCCCTGGACGACAGAGACGCTGAGTTTTTCACCTATGGGTTTGGACTTCTGCATGGTGTGGTATGGTCATCTCAACCCACCAGTGTGTGTGTGTGTGTGTGTACTCACTCACTCACCTCGAGACCATACCCCCCCGCCTGCTGACAGACCCAGCCTCCCGGAGACCGGGGATGGGCGGTCAGGACCATACCCCCCCACCCTTTGGGCCGCGAGGGTACCATACCATACCCCGGAAAAAGTTGGAACCCTGTTGTGGCCTAAAGTCTGCGCAGCTTGCGGAGGACACGATCTCCCGGCGTGAACACAACTAACTGACGTATCTGCTCCTGACAGTGGCACGCACCGCGCTGTGGCGCGTGCCACTGTCTTTGTTTGAAGTTAAAAGTCGAATCAGAGCGGCGTCGAAATTGTCCTCCATTTTCATCCCACGGACCGCCCGTCCGGCACCGCTCCGGGACGCACGCCGGCGAAGCACCATCAAGCTGCTGTACGGCCCCAACATCGCCTTCCCAGGCTTAGCTAGACTGAGAGATATTGTGGACATGGTTGGTCTCTACAATATATACACTGACACTTCACCTCCCAGAGCTCGTCCTGGTCCGCCACGGCCATCCTCGGCCTCCGGAGGGCCCCCGGCCGCGGCGCGGTGCGGCGGCGTCACAAATCCGACCACAGAGCACCGGGACGCGGTCGGGCGATCCGAGGCCCGACTAGGCGTATGCATTGCCTATCCAGGGCTGTCACCTGGACCTATCAACAGGCGCCTGCGGCGCCGTGGTCAGGAGCTGCTGTTCAGTCACACTTGCACAGACTTTGATACGGCACAGTAGGTTGCTGTGAAGCCCTGCTGGGGGTAGATCTAGTGTTTTTGCGTAAGAGATCTCGTGCTTCTCACTGTCTGTGTTTGTACGTCTTGGGCCTTGTGTTTTTGCGCCTTGGGAATTCGGTCTTGCGTGGAGAAATAAGAAGAAATCGGTGTCCGGTGACACCCTCTGCCGGCGGGATCTAGAGAGAGATTTTTAGCAATACCTTACAATACCAAACAACTCTAACACTCACACGTCATTTGGGGCCTGGAGCCCTGTTCACGCGCGCGCGAGACGTGCAGACAGGGTTGCCAGGTGAGAGCGAATGGCGCGGTTCACGCCTCGCACAACAGAGAGAGAGATGCGCTCTGCATGGTGGGACATAAAAGAGAGCGAGTACTTGGGCGAGTAGGCCGTGCGGTCAACGCTGCCGCGCGCGACTTTGCGCGCGAGGCGGCGCAGCTTGAGAACGGCGGTGGGCGAGAAGCCGCCGCCGAACGTCTCGGGTAACAGAAAGTTTTATGTCTCGCGCGCGCGTGAACAGGGGTTAAGGCCCCAAATGAAGTGTGAGTGACAAACTGTTTTGGCATTGTAAATCTCTCTCTCTTGAAGTTGTTGCGCTTGACAAAGATTGCGTCGTGGTAGAAACCGCGATGCGCCTTGACGTAGCCGTGGCCGGTCTTGTGGGAGAAGGGTTTACAATGCTGACAAAGGACATCCAAACAAAAACAAAATCTCTCTCTCTCTCTCTCTCAATGCTGTCCCGACAGCTGTCAGCGCACAGCGGAGACAGCGCGACAGGCTCGGCGCTGTCAAACTCATCAAACGGTATATCGCTCGGAATACGCTGTTCCAGCCCCACCGGCGCACTGCACCCCACCGGCGCCGTGCAATGACAAAAAGGTTATCACGAGGCAGTGTGTCCAGGCACCAGGGCAGGGGCGGCGCGGCGGCGCGCCGCGCGGTCATTCTCATTGATACCTGCGAACCTCCGAAAATAACCAGGTTACTTACCTCCCGAGCGCCGAGCCCGAGGCGTTAACCTGCCTGCTTCCAACATCCAAGTTCCATGCTGTGCACCAAACCAATGCCAAAACGTGAAACGACCGCGCTCCGCGCAACCGGAAACCGCGGACACCGGAAATGCGGAAACCGCAAAGTAACGCCACACGGTCCGCGCCTGCGGGCCGACCCTGCCACCCTCACAGCCCTCAAGCTCACATGATATGTCGTTTTCTTTACCGGCAACACACAAACAACGAGATCGTCACCTCTCCCAACTGCCGCTACCGATAGCCCAGCGCCAGCCGCAGCGCCGAGAACTGGTACCTCGAAAAGACGTGCCGCAGCTCCTCCCGTGACACCTCGCCGTCCGAGTCTAGGTCCATCGCGCCAAAGATGGCGTCGACCGTCACGTGGTAGTAGCCGCTCCCGTGCAGGTGCGCCTGCGATCCGGCACGCGCGGGCGGCAGTAAGAGTAACCGGTGGCTTGGCGCTTGTGGCAGCACCGGGCGGCCGCGCGCGCCCGCAGCTCATTGTACGAGATTCGGCCATCGGCGTCTGCGTCGAGCGCCTCGAACAGCTCGTCGGCCAGCGCGGAGCGGTCGGTCGGCTGGGGCGTGGCCGGCCTCGCGCGAGGCGAGCCGCTGGCCAGCCCCAGCGCCATCCGAATGCTCGCGCTCGCCGAGCGCGAGAAGGCATTGCGCAGCTCCGCAGACGAGATCTCGCCATCGGCATCCGCGTCGATCGCGGCAAAAATGCGCTCCGCCGCGGGGTTCCCGGCTTCGGCGAAGAGGTGCTCGGACAGCTCGTCGAGGGAGACTGAGCCGTCGCCGTTTGTGTCAATCGCACCAAAGATTGCGTCGGCTTCTGCGGCGACGGCGTCGGCGTCGGCGGCGTTGAGCGCCAGCATCAGATCGAGATCGATCACGGCGGGGTCGAGACAGCTGCTGGGATAGGATGCGTTGCCCGTCGGTGCGGGCTCGGGGGCAGGCTGCTCCGATGGAGGCGTCTCGTCGAGCACAAACCCCTCTGGCAGGCCCTTTTGCCAGCCTTTTGCGCTTGGGCGGCCCGCGCGGAGAGGGGACGGGGCGGTACAGGGGCGCAGGGTGACCAGCGTGGTTTGCAGGCGCAGGATCAGCAGCAACATTAATTTTTGAGGATGTCGCACGAGTGCCGCGAAGTTTCCGCGTTTTCTTTTTCAGAGCGAGACATTCTCTCAATGCAGCCAAGGCTCCATCGCGCGAGTCTCCGCGTGCCCGCCGCAGCCGTTTCATCTCGCCAACCAGCTTAGCCCGGGGTGCGATGCACTAACCCGCGCCCGGCCCTAACCAACCCCTAGCCTCCCACCCAGCGCAAAGCCATGCTGACTGACGTACCGGTATATCCCCCAAGCCGCACGGGTTAGCGCCGGGGGTTAGCACCTATGATTAGCACCGGGTTAGCCCACCTATGATTAGCCGTACCTGTGAAGCCGTGAGTTTGGCAACCCGTCTTGAGCTCTTGACCCATCGACCCATGCGCCATGGCCATGCTGACCCGTGCCGGGTTAGTGAGCACTAAGCCACACTACGTCACTACCCCGCCCACGCTGATAGACTCACCCTGTAGCCTGAACGGATGTGGCATCTCGGGTTTTGCCAAATCTAGCATTTTGCCGAGAAAGAGCAACGAGAGAGATTTTTAGCAATACCAATACCAAACAACTCTAACTCTCTGAGCAACAACGGAACGAACAAGATAACGGAAAGAGTTTCACAACAAAAACTCCATGCACCACAAACACAACTCTCTCTCTCCCAAACACAACTCTGGGCACTGGACTGGCGCGCAGTGGGAGAGAGAGATAAATAACAAACACATGGCAAAAATCTCTCTCTAGGTCTAACACAGGTCTCTCGCGTCACGCGTCACTCACGCGAAAACAAAACTCTCTCTCTCTCTCTCTCTCTCTCTCTCTCTCTCTCTCTCTCTCTCTCTCTCTCTCTCTCTCTCTCTCTCTCTCTCTCTCTCTCTCTCTCTCTCTCTCTCTCTCTCTCTCTCTCTCTCTCACTCACTCACGCGTGACAGTGAGGCCTGGAGCCCTCGACGCTCGAGCTGGAGCCGTGGAGCCTCGAGCCTGGAGCATTGTGAGGAGCCCTCTGCTCTGAAGCACACACAATTGACCCCCAATGTGCAATGAACACACCAGCGAGGGAGGGCGAGACGATCGAGGGGTCCCGTACCATGCGGAATCGACCCTATCCAGTGCTCAAGTGCTCAAGCACACACAAGGCACGCACAGACAGCGAGACAGGGCCCTGCCAGAGGTTGATCGGAGATAGATCTAAGAGGCCGCCATTGTTGCGGGAGGCCCAAAAACCAACCAACAAATCCTACCTGAAAAAGCAGAACCACGAGGCATGGGAGAACGGCACAAGCCGTCAAGGACAGGGATTTTAAGGAGGGTGGAAGCACAGTGTGGTGCTAGCCGTCTCTCCATATCTCTCGTCGCAGTCTCTCGCCCACTCGCACCTTAGCACCTTCATGCCACTCGTCGCTCTCATCGCGTTGTATCCTGGACCCTCGAGCTTGTCGTATGTCGAGCCATAATAACTAAAACGCGGACACGCCAAACGAGGGGTGGGATGGGAGGTCCCCACATGCAGAGAGAGATTTTTGAAAACCAACAAGAAATCACGGCTGTCACAGTGATTTGGGCTCGGCAGCTTGTCAGCCCTCAGCCGAAGCTGGGGCCGGTCCCGTAGCCGAGAGAGCCCGCGCCGACGAGTTCGACGCGGTCGGGGGGCCTTGCGGTCGCCTGGGGGTCCGTAGCCGGAAGCGAGAGCCTTGCCCAGCCACTCGAGCGCGCGCCACACCTTCTCGGGCCTGCGGGGCGGTTCCCAGAAGGCTCAGGGACGGCCCCCCACCAATACGAGCGCCCGCAGCTCACACACGTCTCACGCCTTCTCGTGCCCGGCCGTTTTTGATTTTTGGAAAAATTCCCTGCACAAAATTCTTTTTTCGACCTGCCCGCCTTCTTCGAGTGACAAACGATGCACTTAGTCTTTTCCCTCGTCCTCCCTCTCGCAACGGGGGCGGGGGCAGCGCGCCGCTACGGCTGCACGACGCGGTCCTCCCCCTTCTTCGACAGCCGCGCCCACTTCTCCGATTCGATCGCGTGCTCGGCGGTCGGCGCGGCGCGTGCGGAGCGCTTCGGGCAGGCTGGGGGGTCGGTGGCGCGGCGCCTGTCCCACAGCGAGTGCGTAGGGGTGCATGGCTGCATGGATCCCAAGGCGTTCAACTACGACTCGAGCGCCACTTGTCATGAAAATATCTGCGTGGACAAACGGCCGGGCTGCATGAACTCGACAGCGCTCAACTACAACCCCGAAGCGAATGTACATTGTCCTACAGCGATTGTCCTGGAGGGCTGCCCTTGCGAGCCGGTCCTGGAGGGCTGCATGTCGCCCCTAGCGTTAAACTACAACTCAAACGCCAACCGGCAAGGGGTCCCGTGCGATTTTGGCCGCCGCGGCTGCACTGACACGGCCTCCCCCGACTACGACTCGAATGCCGAGATCGACGACGGCTCTTGCACGGAGCATGTCCCCGGCTGCACGGACGCAAGAGCGCCCAACTTCATGTGCGAGGGCGGCGGGGCTGGGGGATCCGAGGGGGCGTTGTCTCACTACTTTTGGCCGTCCCCTGTCGTAGGTGGAACGCGACCGTGGACGACGGCGCCTCTTCTCCGCCGCGTCCGGCCCATTCCCCCAGCGCCCCCACAACGCTCCCCCTCCCGCCGCCCCCCCCCCCCCTCAGGCTCGTGCGAGGAATTCATCTGGGGCTGCACCGACAGCGCGGCGGAGAACTATAACTCCAGCGCGACCGTCGACAATG